GGGTTAACTCTTGAATGTCTTTAATTTTTGCAGGGTTAGCTTCAATACCTCGTTGACTAACCATGTATCCAAGGAATTTACCTGATCCCACCCCAAAGGTACATTTCTTTGGATTTAATACCATTGAATAATCACGGAGAATACCGAACATTTTCTGTAAGTGATGGACGTGGTCGATGGCGTCGACCGACTTGACGAGCATATCGTCAACATAAACCACCATAGTACGACCGATCAGATTCGAAAACATTTTGTTGACAAGTCGTTGATAAGTGGCCCCTGCGTTTTTCAAACCAAAAGGCATCATTGTGTAACAATATAATCCTCGAGCGGAATAAAAAGACGCATGTTCTGCGTCTTGGGGATCCATGGGAATCTGATTATATCCTGAATAAGCATCCATAAAACTCATCAACTCGTGTCCCAAAGTAGCGTCAACCATGTAATCAATGTGAGGAAGTGGATAACTATCCTTGGGACAAGCTTTGTTCAGGTCGGAGAAGTCGATACATAACTGCCAAAGGCCGTTGCTTTTCTTGACAAGGACTGGGTTAGAGACCCATTTCGGATACTTGGCTTCTTTGATAAACTTGTTATCAATGAGTTTCTTAACTTCTTCCTCTAAAGCTTGCTGATGATCTGATCCTAATTTTCTTCGTTTCTGGACGACAGGTTTGATTGTTCGATCAAGATTTAATTTATGACAAGCAACACCAGGATCAATTCCTTTCGTATCTTCATGTTTCCAGGCAAAAACATCAGGATTTCTTTTAAGGAATGTAATAAGTTCAGACCGAACTGGTTCTTGAAGGTGACGTCCGATACGGAGTGGTTTTTGGCATGTTGGTTCGTCAACATAAATAAGTTCGATTTCTTCTCCAGGTTCAGCTCGATCACTTCAGCTTTTTTCTTTGAACTGAGTTCGAGGATCCAATTCATCTTCTTCTTGAACTGGTTCTTTCCCCAGTCTTCTTCCTCGGTCTTCATTTTGAGTTGTTTCTTCAAGAAATTCTGAGGTTGAAGGCACGTCGGTATGTTGAGTCGAGGTCAAGGGATCTTTTTCGGTAGTTGACTGGCTGGATTGAATTTCGCTAGTAGGAGTAATCAACACAAGTTCTCGCGCTTCTCTTTGATCACCGTAATGAGTTTATTCCCCAAAAGTTGTCGGGAATTTTAGCGCATAGTGAAATATAGACACAACTGCTCGGAGCTTGTAGAGCGCTGTTCTTCCGATGATGGCATTATATTCGTTGCGGATATCCATGACTTTGAAAGTTTCCATGATAAGTTTAGTAGCTTGTCCTGGAATGCCGAATAGGATGGGAAAAGTGATTTCTCCGATTGGTCGAGAAATGCTCCCATTGAATCCTTGAATTTCGTCATTACAAGGCTTGATGTCCGCAGGATCTAGGCCCAACTTGTCGAATGTTCGTAACATCAAAATACTTGAATAGGCCCCTGTAACAACCATAACTCGATGAACTGGGATTCCTCATATCGGAACAGTAATGACTAGCGCGTCAGAATGAGGGCGTGCAAACAGGTTCGCGTCCTCGGTACTGAAAGTGATAGGACAACTCCGTGCATTGATAAGATCTCGTAAATTAGTAGTGAAAACACGTTTGTCTGAATCGTAAGCCTGTCGAGCGTAGGCTTTAATTTGGCGTCGGGAAGAGATGGTTCGTGTACTGTTTGTATTTACTCGATGAATACAGGTACAAGGAGGGCTCAAGACCGATATCGTTTGTATTTACTCGATGAATACAGGTACAAGGGGGGCAAGTTCGAAGTATATGCAGATATTTCTTTTTCTCCCTGTCGGATTCTCTTCGGCATAGCACCTCGGTCATCTTCTTCATCATCATCAATGGGCTCTACCGGATGCGCTAATCCTGTTCTCTTGATGTCGGGGTTTTTTGAGAATCTTCGAAGTTGGGGATGACCAATTAATCTTAGCAAGGCGGCTAAAAGGCTGAGGCACTCATCAGTATTATGCCCTGGTGATTTATGATAATCACAATATCGAGATTTTTTCTAGCTTCTCTTCTGGAACTCGAACGGGCTTGGGCTCAGGCAAAATACCTTTCCCTTTAAGTTCTTCATAAATTGTGGCAGCCCCTGATGAGTACATAGTTTGATATCCTGATTTCATATCGCTGGCATATTGTCGTCGAGCGGCTCGAATTTTAGGATCATTAGCATCACCTCTCGGAAAGCCTCCAAACTGGGTTTTGGCTTGCTTCCCACTGAAAGCTTTGTTCTTCTTCTTTCATTCTCCATTCGATCCAAATTTATGAGGACTGGGGGTAAAATTAAAGTCAGGGACCGACATGGATTCTTCTGCTATGATATGTTGTTGTGCCCGAGCTAAAAAGTCTTGGAAAGTATGCTGTTTATTTTGACACAACGTCCATCGAAATATTGAGTTCAGTTTTAGCCCGACTATAGCCATAACAAGCAACGTTTCCGGATGACAAGGCTCCATGTTTTGGACTCGATCATTAAATCGGGCAATGTTATCCTTAACACTTTCATCATCTTTTTGAGTGATGTTGGCAATAGATTCTTTCGGGACCAGACAAACCTGGGCCCCTATAAAGTGAGATCGGAAAGCCGACCTCAACTGTTGCCATTTCCAGATTGAGTGAGGAGGTAAAGAGTATACCATTTTTTAGCTCGGGGCCCCAATGTGAGAGAAGACATGCGACACCGAAATGCATCTGCCGTGCCTTGAAGATCCATCCATAAAGTATAATAGCCAAGGTGGGCGTCAGGGTCCGACGTCCCATCGTACAATCCGATTTGTGGTACTTTCACCTTTCCGGGAACAGTTTCTGAAGTGAGTTTAGGAGCTAATGGTGAATCAGCTTCCAAATAAACCTACGGCGAGGTGGATGCTCGGCGTGATGTATCTTCTTGCGCTTTTTGGCGACTTTCCAGTTCAACAATTTTTCTACGCAAAATTTCTAACTCGGTCGAATCTTGCTGAGCTAACCGATTTCTTTCTATTTGCTGCCTCAAGTCTGCTTGCATCGGGGTGTGGGAATTGGAGGTTGTCTGTTCGGTGACATCCTTCGATGGTGACCGGAGTGGCTTCCAACGGTCATTTCTTGAGGTAAGACAGGAGGAACATTAAGTACCTCATTTTGACGCGTTTCCCTCTCTGGTTGTCGTTGAGAGGCTCGACTTTTCATTTGTGATGTAGCGTGAGAGACTTCTTGTCTACATCTCGTCGTTGATTCTCTAGAGTACAGGGATTACCAAGGGTTGGTTGGATGATAGAACGGCCAGGATTGATTATAGATATTCCAGGCATAGTTTGAGCTAACAAAGTAGCTAAACCGCGAGCAAAATCTGGATTTTGGAATATGACAGTACAGTCCAGAGGGATAGGAACAGCCGCGGTTTGTGCGGCGGATTGCGCTCTCCCACGACTACGATCATTTGTAGACACGTGACCAAGATGATCAGAATTTGACATATTAAATCATATGCTTCTATTAATAGAATAGCGGAGGAGGGTGCCAGGCTTTTCGACCAAAAGATGGGAGGTAACCTCAAATCACATATGAGGCCCTCCTTCTAGCACCAATCTGTTGTTATGTGGAGTAAAACAACGGGTTTACACTGATGCTGGATCAATTTATGTGAGTAATTAAAAGAAATTGCGTAATCAAACGAAGACGATGGCCCCGGTCCGAGGTGAACCGAGGTGAAAAGCTACAGTGAGCTGTTACGTGTTTCTTGTTGAAAATGTTCAGGATTTGATCCCCGTACAAGTATATAGATTAGCTATTTATAGTAACTTTTGGATACAAACATTGGGATTTGTACGATGCCTTTTCTGTAAAGTTACTTTTGATGGGCGGCATTATCAGCGGGTACCACCTGATATCATGTTGAATGCCTTGATATGCGGATGCATAATGAGAGTGTCTTATCAATCTTGATTTCGGTGACCTCGGTTGAGATTCATCTCGGTATGTTGACGTTGATCGGAACCGATGTGAGACGTTGTTCGAATTTAGACCGAGGTGGAATCAATTTGGTTGAACGGGTAGTTATTACACTCTTATTTGTTAAGTAAAACTTCGGCTCGGTTTTAATCAAGGTTCGTCAGGTCGGGTAATAACACAAATTATTTAATTATTCGAGCCCAATGTATTTTGAGCGGATCAAATTTATTGGTCGGCTATTTTTAATTCATAGTCGAATTAATTTCCAAGCCCAAGCGATAATTTTAATATCGAGCCTAATTTCTGGGCCCATTTTAAGTGGGCTATTTTTATTTCGACAAATCGACCTAATTATTTTAATTATCGGGCCCAACTATTTTAAATCGAGACATTTTTAAATTTAGTCGAATTAAATTCTCGACCCTAGTAGTATTTTATATTCCGGGCCCAATATTAATTTTCGGCCCAAGTCAAAATTATTACTACAAGCTGGCATTTAATTCTCCTAATTCATATTCGTTTTAAATTCGAGCCAAAGCATATGATCTTACTAGCCCGATTATGAAGAGATTTTAAGCCCAACTCTGAAGCCTGATTTTTAGGCCCGATTGCTAACCCAATGATTTAGCCCAAGTAAATGAAGAAACCCTAATCTCCCATCTACTATATATATATTGCATCACCTCCCACCATCTTCATCTTCAACATTTCTCAAACCCTAGCCACCATAGCAATAGCACCCCAATTTTTGGCCAGTCACCGCCACCATCCGGTGACCATCGCGCCGGCGAGTCTATGCCGCCACAGCCCGTGCCGATCCAACCTCAGTCCACGCCCAAGTCATCGTCCCAGCAAGCTCGCACACGTTACCTGCTCCACTCACACCGGTTCGCGTGCTCTTGTTCCGGCGAGACCTCTGGCCAACGAGCCCACCACGCCGGCGACCCAAAACCGCGACCCTCACGTTGGTTCCACTCCAGCCTAGCGAGCCACGCCACTCATTCTCGCACCTCCGCACCTGACCACAACAAGCTTGCGACCAGGTCCACAGCTCCGTTTTCCGGCGAGCACGTCCATTCTCCGAAAAGCTTAGTCCCGACCAACAGCTCACGACCTTCACGTTTCCAGCCCCTCCGTGCGTCGCTGCTCACCATTCCGTCTGTACGCCGCACAGCTCCCTTTCGAGCATAGCCCGCCAGAAATAGCTCTTCACCGCGACCCAGTACCGACAGCTTCAAGCACAAGCCTCCACACGCGCGAACCCAGCCAGACTCAGCCCTCCACGCGCTCAACGCGCCCGACTCGCTGCGATCTACCACTCGCCGAGTCAACTCGGTCATCTCGTCCGACTCGCCCCCAGCTCGGCCCAGTCAACTCGAATAGAGTTGACCCATTCAACTTTCCCTCCAGTTCAACCCGTTTGAGGAACATCTACCCAGTTTTGCTCCTCCGAGCCATTTTCCCTAGCTCTCTCGACTTTTAAAACTTCGATTTGAGTCGGTTAAGGTAGCTTGGCTCGAATCCTTCTCCAAATGGCTTAAATATAATTGTTGAGATATTATAAAAGTGTTGAATCGGTGATTTGAGCAAATTTTGAATAAAACTGGACATACGGGCTTAAAGTTATTTTTCGAGACTCGTTAAATAATTTCGATAAAATGTTGAAATAAATACCATTAATTTCTTTGCGATGTCTTGAGGCGTAGGTTCAAATATTATAATTTTCGGACATTGTTTGGTAGGTAAACGAGCCGGTCAAAGGTGTTGACCGATTTTAGTAATTTGGAGTTCACTGGATTAGGAGTTACCGTTTGACTTATTATGTTGAGCGTTGACTAATAATATATTGAGGATGATACGATTCTAATTTCATGAATTTTGGACACCGTTGGACTTAGTTATAAGATCGGGACTTTAGCCGTTAAGTCGATATTTTAGAA